TGTGGTTGTCGTCAAATTAGTTGCTCAGATTACCAGCGCAAAATTATGTTTATGTTGCAAAATTGGTAAAAAAAAATTGAGCATTAACTGTTCCTTTCAATAAACCATTAGCCCAGCAATACAGTTATCCCAGCTATCCTTCTATATTTTTGCTTCCTGATCTCTTTTTCTCCTTTCCCTCATCCCAGTTGTTCCTACCTTTGAGCAATTTCCCTTTCATAATATCTGTTGTACACTTCGGGTTTTATTTACTCTTTCAGGTTCTTACACTAGGGAGACAATACGATGTTTACACTTGTGGGTCCGATTTATTTCACTTGTGCGTATGGTCTCGAGTCGGGCCAGCAATATTTAATATGCTGACAGATACCCTCGAGGTGCTGGGCAGTGACGCAAGGCGCACCTCCCCGTCCACCTCACAGTCACCAGGGTAAACAGTCAACACTGTGGTATATCGTGTTGCTGAGCTCTGATTGTTGGTAGGTTAGGTGTATTACACGCATTTTTGGCTTATAATAGTTTCAACTTCCGGGCTTCTCAGTGCATAATCCCGCAGGCAGTGAAGGAGCACCCGCACATGAATTCCGTCAGCACGACTTGCTAGCTCTGTGAACTCGCTCACCTTCAATTTCTCCAGTAGGAAAATGGGGATGACAGTTCTGTCCTGTAGTTCATTATTTACATGAAGGTCAAATAAAACAAAATACACTTTGAAAATTATTAAATATCATGGTAATTCAAATTATTAAATGTACTGAACCTAGATGAAATAAAACATTAGAGGTATAGCAATTTTTTGATATTCTGCTCATCAGTGGAGAAAGCAAAACTTGTTCCTCTTTTCTGAGAAGCACTAAATAGTAAAGGAGAGTTTGTAGATGTTTGTAATCTAGTTCTAGTTTTGTCATTTATTAAATTCATAATTTAGTACAAATGTATTGCATATTCTTTACCTGATTTCCATCTTTTCTAAAATGATGGAGGTGATTATATTCCTTTTAAAAATACACTTAGGTAGGCATTGTTGTAAACCACCACCTCAGTACTGCATGAATGCTTGGAGATTGCCTGTTTCATAGAAGCAAGTATAGTTTATACCTGGCCTATGGCCTGTCATGGGGACCCATGCAGAAAAAGATATATTCCTAAAATATTATCAAGGTCTAACTACCAAACTTCATAATCTTAATGGAAGAAATACCAAAGAATGAGTGGTTACCTTTTTCTAAATTTCTTTGACCTTGTTTGTTTGCTTTGTGGTTGAATTAATGTTTTTATTTTTCAGTTAAAGTGTTATTTTTCCCCAGGAAAAATCAGGTATTTGCTTTGAAATTCAGAAGGTCCACATTTCTGCCATATTGATTACAAAGCAGCATGTTTAAAACTACTTCAAATATCTGAGATAATTATACACCTCAGACTGCTTTACTTTTCACAGAGGGGCAGGGTATCAGTCAGTAGTGCACGTGACAGGTAGCATGTTTGCGTCTGGTTTTTATACACACACAGCCTTGATGCAGGCTTTTTGTAAATGACAGTGATGGTAAGAGACAGGGCTATGAATGATGTATTTAGCCATTGCATTTACATTTCTCTTTGGCAAGTAAGAGAAATAAAGTAGTATTACTTCACTATTGATAGATTTTCAGTTCTTTCATCAATTAGTATGGTGACCCTGGGTTACTCTTTTCTTTTCCTTCTTTTGTCAGTTTTTGAGTACACATGGTTTATTACTGACAGGCAGAACAATAATAGAAAAGGAAAATACATTTATCTGTCATATACTTAACTGCGTAGGGAAAGAACTATTTGTGATAAAAGTCTGTACGAAAATTATTTGCAAAATTTGTTTATTCCCTTTAAATTTTTCTTTAAAAACTATGTTCTATTGGGCTTTGTGGCACAGGCCTGTAATCCCACTTAGGAGACTGAATCAAGATTGCCTCAAGACTGGCCTACCTATTGAATTCAAGGCCAGTTTGAACTACATAGCATGACCCTATTTAAAGAAAAATAATTACCAGAAAATAAAACTGTGTTCTATTCAACAGACTAAAATAATAAAGATAAAATTTTTACATTATCCATTATATTCTTAAACTATATTTGCTTTCAGCAGTTAGAATGTGTTTCCAAACTCTTTACATATTTGTTGACATGTATTTACAGATTTGCAGCTTTGGCTGATCAGTGTAGGATTATATTATGAACGCAGAATTCTACAACTTGCAACCAATAACTTCTATCTTGGAGATCGTCAGCATAAGAGTGTCAACTTTCTTTTTTTTGTTTTTTTGTTTTTTTTTTCCAGTACCGGGGATTGAACTCACGACGTTGCACTTGCCAGGCAGGCGCTGTGCCGCTGAGCGAAATTCCCAGCCCCTGTCTTTCGTTTTGAAAGTCGCTTGTTATCTCACATTAGAGAAAAGATATCTAATAATGATATAATTCTCTCTTCCTGCTTGTTTCTAATTTTTGATTTTATACTTTTCTTTCTTTCATGGGTTTTTTGTTGTTGCTTTGGTTTTTTTGGTGCTGGGGATTGAACCTAGGACCTCGGCATACTGAGCAGGCACTCTGCTGCCGAGCTCCGTCCTCAGCACCTGTCGGTGTTTTTGGAGTGGTTTTGTGTATTGGTCACACAGATCCCTGTATTGTTTGGTGTGTGTCTTTTTTTTAATTTCAAAAATTTTCCTTTAAATTTTGGATGTAATTTTTTTATTCTTCTGATGCAGGTACTTTCTTCCAGCCTTTGGTTAGTATTGAACTTTGCTGTTATTTTTATTTGTTAACTGTTAAAATTTTTTTATGTAGCAAAGTTGCCAGTTTTTTTTGCCTTGTATATTTTGTGCTTGGAATAAGTTCTTTTTCCGTGAATTTTTATCTTCCTGTTTGTATAAATAAATTGAGTTTCTTAGCCTTTCAGTTACCTCTCAAATACTTTACCGTATTTCTCTGTCTCCACAGATCCCGAAAGTTAATCATTCTTATTACTCTTGGTGTTACGGCAGAAAATTCCCGTTTGTCCCAAACATTCCACAAGAGACGCCAATCGCCAGTGAGAACAAAATCAGAGTTTAGTTTGAGGCTAGCCACCCTCACTTCCTTTGCCAATCTGGAAGCAGGCCATGGCTAACTTTGTTTCCCCTTCTATACATTTTGGTTTCCATTGACAGCAGATTGGGGTGTTACATTCTCTGACCCCAGTGGGCATATGGTGTTTCTCTCATCCTGTTGGACCCCAGGTCAGTTGCAGGTCCCATGTCAAACCGTGATAGATGTTTCCCCCCATTATCTCCTTTTTTACAACCTATGCATTCATTTAGGGTTACAATGTTTACCTAGGGCCAGGAGATGGCACTACCCAGGCAGGGTCACAGAGGGTCACCTAGACCTAGGCACCCCCTTATTCTTGGGGAGACATTCCTGGGCAGTGTTGATCTGGGGAATTAGCTCTTGTACTGTCCTGGGGGGCTTCCTGAGGCACCATGCAGGCTTTTTACCAAACTATTTTATCTAAAATAGTATGCTAAGATTCATTGCCCCCTACATTGGCTTTAGGAAAGCTTATTAATTTTGCTTTACAAATATTGTGCCTGTGACTTTTGATGTGACATTTTGGCGTGATGTTTTTCCATTGTAGCCATAATATGGTAAACACTGAATATAGTCTGGTATATTTGGACTCAAGGTGAACTTGAATAATTTGTGTCAGTCATCATAACGGTGCTGTAGCTGCACATAAACCTGCTGTGTTTTTAATCACAATGCTTTTGTATCTGGATTTTTACTTAGTTCCACTATACCAGTTTTAAATGTCATGCAATTCGTGGGCATATTTAAATTTTTATTATTTAATATATTGTGGAGGGAAAGTTAAAAAAAAAATTCATTAAAAACTTATTTTTTCCTTCAGTTTTGTCAAAGCAACATGCTTCACAAGTCCTGGTTAGGAAACGACGTGCGAATTCTTTGCTTGAAGAAACCAAACAGGGTAATCTTGAGAGAGAATGCATTGAGGAACTGTGTAATAAAGAGGAAGCCAGGGAGGTGTTCGAGAACAACCCTGAAACGGTAAGAATTCATGGAAACTATCAAGTTCGTCACCTCTACATACAGTTCCAGACCAAACGTTTCCAGCTTGCGCTCCAGTGTAATGGTTTCGTGTGACACATGCCACATGTAAGCATTTGCATTTCAGGAGGAAGTAGCTTTAAGGGAAAGGAGGCTAGTTAACAGGCTACCACTGCCATGGCAGTGTGCTCTGACCGCACTGTAATTCACCTATACCTCATAAGGATTTCACATGTGGTTTGTAGATATTTTTTCCTTACCAGAATTTGATAGTATTGTGGTTTTTTTCTTTCTTTGTTTGTTTGGTTGTTTTTTTGTCTTTTTGAGACAGGGTCTCACTATGCAGTTCAGACTAGTCTTGAACTCACTTTGTAGCCCAGGCTGGCCTCAAACTCCCAAGATCCTCCTGCCTCGGCTTCCCGAGTGCTGAGATTATAAGGGTGTGCCACCATACCTGGTGATAGTATTGTTGAAGGATAGGTGTCACAAGTATAATATCTATGTGTTTGTGTACTTTAAGTCAAAGGTTCTTTAATTTTATTTATTTATTTATTTATTTTTCTCGACTTACTTTTTGCCAGGCTACAGATGTGGGACCATTTAGTCTCATTTGTTTTAGGACTGTAGTGGTGAGGCTTGAACCCCTGGCCTTCTCAGTGAGGTATATCCCCAGCCCTTGCTAGGTCAGAGTTGTTCAGGCTGGGCTTGAACTTGAGATCCTCCCACCTCTGTCTTCCAGCGTGTTGGGGTTACAGGTGTGCACCACCTTACCCACCTTTTAGAGTTTAACCTCTAAGTAGCAAAAAGAAAGTAAGTAGAAGACTATAGAAAAGAGGGAAGACCCTGGAGAAGGAAAAACCTTTAAGGCACTTCTTCACCTCCACTATTCCTACACTGCTTCCTTTGACAGAAGAGAAAGAGGTGGCAGAGAGAGTAACGCAGAAATGAGAAGAATGAAGGGAAAGAAAGACCTTTGTTATGGTTTACCGTTTTCTACCCTATGTCCGTCTGCTGAAATACAATCTACTTTCAGATTAGAAGCTTTTGAAACATTATTAATTGACTAATGATGCTTTAAGTCTAGACATAGTATAGGTTTGATATTACTAGTTACTCTTGGCATACTTTATTATAGAAAAAACTATAATGGGAAAATGTGGCATGTAATTCATTTCCATCTTTATTAGAAAAACATAAAATTAAGTCTTATCTCTATAATTAGATTTAAGTTTGGTAATATGCATTTTTTCTTTTCTTTCTTTCTAGGATTATTTTTATCCAAAATACCTAGGTAAGTTCAAAATATGTTATTCATGAAATGTAAATGGGAGGAAATTCACACACATTCCAGGTCATCTTTGACTCTCCACCCATATATTGAATCCACTATCATTTCATTACCTTTGGGAGTGAGATTTTCTTCTGTCTTTTTTATTTTTATTTTTTTTGGTATCGGAAATCAAACTCAGAACCTTGGGCTCGCCAGGCAGGCGCTTGTGCTGCTGAGCTGTATCCCCAGCCATCTATCTTTTTTAAAAGACATGTAAACAAATTTGAAATAGTTCTTTAACTACCATGGGGACATTTTGACTTTCATTCTTTTTCATTCCTTGCATCTTCTCCTCAAGAATCTTTGGGCTGATCCTCGGTTATGTTTAGGCACCCAGGGGTTCTCTGAAAATACCTTTCAACAAAAGGAAAGGGCTCTAAAGATCTCTTCAGAGATTATGCCATAGACAGTTACTATTTAGACTTTTATAGAGATCATTAATGGCTTCTCTCTTTGTGACACCAATTTTCATCACACCCTGCAGTATCCTATCCTTTTCTAGTTTGGGATATGATCTGGGACTTTCAAGGAGTGAGGTAGTATTTTCTCACATAAATTAGATGATTTCATTTAGATACCATGTAAAGGTAGCAAGGCTGCAGAGCTGCCTCCAGCTCAGCTCTTGAAGTTCCCTGTGGGGAAGGATGGTGCCAGGATGGAGAAGTAAAGAGAAGAGTCAGAGTACAGGAAGCTGAGGTCCGATGGGCCCTCTCTGCTGGGAGGAAAGGAACTGCTCAGTCACTGCAGTGCATTTATTTATGCATTCGGCAGGTTGACGCCATGTGACACCCCTCTGTCTAGCAACCTGCCTGCGTGGTAGCCTGACGCAGCGCGTGTTCTTGGAGCGCTTCAGCGTGTTCACGTGGCTCACCTGGGTGCTCCTTGTTCTCGGGAGGCCTTGCTCCATGCCCGCATGTGTGATCGATCTCCAGCTTCAGCCGTCCCGCACGCTCTCGTTTGCTTAAAGCAAATGTAGAAATGCTTTACGTTAACAGTACTTGGGACAGGCATCAGCATTTGCAGACGATCAAAATGGAATATGATTTGTGCACCTCTTTCTGATAGGCTCCTCCACGGATCCGGACCCTGCGGTGCGGTCTCCCTCCGCCTGTAGATCCAGGATGCCCCTCATCTGCACGTCTTCCCATCTCATCTCGCCCTTCCCAGCAGGAAGAAACCATAATATATACACTCAGATACATTCATAACATGCAATTTAGAATGACTACTAGAACTTTATAAATAATAATGGCAGTTAAGCTCATTTCTCTCAAAATGTGAGGATTTAATTATAACGTAAGGCTTTAGTTTTTTAAAAATTTCTCTTTATTTTGCCTTGTTCTGGGTACCAGAGCAGTAGTTGCAGGGACCATGTGGAGATGGGGACTATTTATACTTCTCCCATTTCCTAGGAAACCTTAATGCTAAAATGGTGTTCTGAACTTGTATCTGTCCTTGAGGATAGGCTACAAGCCAAAGCTCTCAGGGTAGAAGATCCATTTTGGAGTCAGTCACTGGTTTTACAGCTCCTGAAGTGAATTCCACTTTTAAGTGTATATGACAGTAAGCGTCTTATGTTTAAGGCACATCCTGAGCTAGGGAACCTCAACTATCACATACATGCATCTCTGCTCACCCTGTTACTAAGTGTAGGACATCATGTCAGTGGTCTCTATAGGACACTGCAAGATCTTCTATTTGGTTTGGTTTTGGTTTTACAAGATATTAAACTACCCTGCCTCCTGGCAAGCATGAAGTCCTGAGTTCGATTCCGGATATCCCCCAAAATAAAAATAGAAACAAAGACAAAAAACCTACCCTCCCTGAGCTATAGTTTCCTCATTTTTCAATTGGATAGAAATAATTTGCTTAATAAATTTTTAGAAAGAAATAAAATGAGATCATACTGTCAGAACACTTAGTAGAATGTTTTCTTTTTCTATTTTGTTTTGGTTTGATTTAGTTTTCATTTTCAGTTTTGTGTTTGGAGACACAGTCTCACTATGTAGCCCAGGCTGGCCTTAAACTCAACAGAGATCTTCCTGCCTCAGCCTCCCAAGTATTGAGATTAAAGGTGTGCACCACCACACCTAGCATAGAATATTTTCTTGCTAGTCCTCTTTATTATTCCTTCCTGATTTTCAGTTCCTATTTTCTTGACTTTGTTGCTTTTCCCTTGTCATCCTTTCTTTACCTACTTTGACTTTTGTTTCCTACAAATTTGTTTCCTACAAATTTGGAAAGGGGCAACTATAGTATTAATTGTGAGATGATGTTATTTGTATCTATTGATATGAATATGCAACAAAATTTTCTAAAACCTTCTGCTGTATATTTAAAAGGTCACGGGATAATAGGTATACCTCCATAAAAAAAAATCTAAAGTTACATGTGACTCCTCACTGTCTACAACTAAACTAAGGATTTGTATTGTTGAAGGAAAGACTATTTCAGCATCTCAGTTTAAAATTAGAATTTAATTTTTTATGAAACAGTATTTGGCTATTAGAAATTTATATGTTTTGCCTCAAAATATTGCATTAACCCTTACTTCCTGGGGCCCTGTAACAGGGCTATGGACCTCCAAGAACAACACTCTACAAGATATATTCCACTGATCGCAGTGTACAGAGGAATAAACATAAGTAACTTTGTGTGTGTGTGTGTGTGTGTGTGTGTGTGTGTGTGTGTGTTTGACACAGGGTCTTGCTGTGTAGTTCAGGCTGCCTCAAACTTACTTCATAGCCCTGGCTGGCCTCAAACTTGCAGTGATCCTCCTGCCTCCACCTCCTGAGTGCTGGGATTACTGGCATGTGACACCACATCCAGCTTCATAAATAACATTTTAATGCAGTTTTATGTGTTTGGGAGAAGTTCCGTATCCCTGTACTTTTCTTCCTGTATCCCTCTCACCTTTCTCTTTTCTGATACCATCTAAGTTTCTCTTATCTTTATCTTATTTGGCAACATGGTAGAAAACAGTATAAAAACTAACATCCAAACCAAAACAAAAAGCAAGATATGGATTCTAGTCCTGGACGTAAAAAATCTCTAGCTACATGACAATATGCAAAAGTATTTAACTTTTCAGGTTTTCTTTTTTTGTCTTTTTGAGACATTGTGCAGTTCAGGCTGGCTTTCAACTTACTTTGTAGCCCAGACTGACCTCAAACTCACAGCAATCCTCCTGCCTCAGCCTCCCAAGTGCTGGGATTGCAGGTGTACATCACCATGCCCAGCAAGGTTCTGTATTTTTAAATGTACAGAGGGACTATATTGTCTAGCTTCAGAACTCTTACAGTATCAAATAATTATATATGCAATATATAGATAGATATTTTTGACTGTCAGCCTTGCTTTAAAATACAGTAGTAATCAACTCATCACATGAGATAAAAATATACTTTTGGAGATGATTTTTTGACTCAAATTTTATATGTTGACCTGTATATATTATTGTAAATGATACATCCCTCTGTTGAAAACGGGAGAAAAATCCCCTACCAAAGTTAAGCTTTTGTCACTTAATGTTATATTCTATGGACAATGGTCCTGATTTGACAAATGAATCACCTTTATAACCCTGGCCAGGTTACAGTTACTCAGCACCACACCCTTGCAGCCACCCTTATAGTGGAATACAGTCACTCGAGAAAACTGATCCCTGTAGCCCGTAATTTTGGTCAGTGTTTAGACTCAGAGTTTCAGGGGCTTATCCAATTCTAATTCTTCATTCTCTCCACATATCCCTGCACTGCCTTGACAATGCGAAATCTAAATAGAAATACTTTTTTTTATTATACAAGCCTAAATTTTAATTTTTTTTTCTTTTTTTTTTATAGGAAATAGGGTAAATAACTCTACTATTACTCATAAAGTGGCAGATGCTTTTTTTTCTTTTTTTGCTATGCAGTACAGGCTAACCTTGAACTCAGTATGTAGCCCAGGCTGTCCTTGAACTCACAGCAGTCCTCCTGCCTCAGCTCTGGGATTACAGGCGTGCACCATCATGCCCAGCTGTGGATGATCCTATTAATAAAGAAGACACTTTAACTAAACTCTAACACTAAATGTGAATATTCAAAATCGTTTTTAGTTTCTAGGTGCTGCCAAGTTGGTAAATTAATCTAGACTGCTCATTTTGTCCCTTCAAGTCATCCAGAGAGAAACAATAGGATCATAGATCCCATTATAATGAAATAAAATGTATAAATAACAAGAAGCATGAGAAATCCATGGATAGACTGCAGGCTGGCTTGATCTGGAGTGTGTGTGTGTGTGTGTGTGTGTGTGTGTGTGTATTAGAGTTAGGGTAAGGATTTTTAAGATGACCTAAGACTTTAAGAAAACAAACAAAAAAGATACAACAGAGCAAACCTTGAGGAACAAGATACGAAGAAGAAAAATCAGGCGTAGAAATAAGTAAAATGAAAACAAAGAAGTAAAATGGAAAAACAAAAGAAAGTATTAATAAAAGCAAAATCTCATTCTTTGAAAAGATCTGTAAGACTCACATCTGGCAAGCACAAAGAAGGAAAAACGAAAAAGACAGGAAAGAAACGCTAATGTACAAGGTAAATAAGAGAGGAAATATTTTAAACCCACTTAGATTAAAAAAGGAAGCAATAGAAAATTTCATTATACAAATAAGTGCTCAGCAGGTTAAACTCTGAGTCCTCCTCTTCCTATCAGGTCCCAAATCCAGAACCCAGATGTTATTTTAATAGATGATTTCTTCCAAACATAAAACTTGCTCTTTTTTTATTATAAAATTGTTCTACAAACTGAAAAAAAGATTCCTTACCACAAGCTTATTCCAAAGCAAAGGAAAGAAAATAACATGAGCTGTCACTTTATTGCTTACTAGTCTGGCAAACACTGGAAAGCAGAGCTGCACCAGCCCTGCTCTGTTGGTGGGAGGCACCCCTGGAGTGCTTGTCTATCTGCTGACCCAGATCTTG